TCTTTAAACCTTATACCAAAGAACCCCCTAAAAACAAACATCATGTCTGCCCCTCAGAGCGAAGCCTTCAAGCAGGCTGTCTCCGACAGCAAGAAGCTTACTTCCAAGCCTGGCAACGACGAGCTCCTCGAGCTCTACGGTTCGTCGCTTCCCACAACCATGCCTTCCACCCCTGTTACCTCGGCTTCTTTCGTAGCTAACATATCATGATGATGATGAACATAGGCCTGTACAAGGTCAGCACTGGCGAGGACATCTCCAGCGCCCCCAAGCCTGGCATGTTCGACCTCAAGGTACGCGACACTAACATCTGAGCCGATTGAGCTCCCCATACCCGAATTTGGCACGTGATGGAAAGCTGACGGTTGGTTTGCGTGCGTTACAGGGCAAGGCGAAGCAGAGCGCGTGGCAGAAGGTCGTCGACGATAACCTCACCCCTGAGCAGGCCCAGGAGAAGTACGTCGCCCTCGTCAACTCTCTCAAGGAGAAGTACGGCTACGACGCCAACAAGGAGCCCGAGGCCGTCGGCGCGTAAACGCGCCGCACCCCAACACACTGCTTTCTGACGACCATGAGAAACGACAACGGGTTGATATGGATTAGCAATGGCTTCCTTTTGCTCGAGTACATGCCGAGCATAGAAGCGAGGATCAATATAATGATACCAACGTCGACAAGAGTCACATGTGAACAAGCGCGCGGGTAGACTCAGTTCTCCCATGCACCCCAAGCTCTTCCCAGCCTGTCCGGTTCATCATGGGCCATCGATGCCACCCAAGGGATCTCGTCCTTTCCATACGCTTGAAGAGGTAGGTTGTAAGGAATACGCAGGCCGACCACCGGTTCGCCGTCCCCCGCATCGTTTGGCGGCATGTCTGTTTCGAATGTCCCCACCATGGTCGCTTTGTCTGCGATAAGCGAAGGCCATACAAGCACTCCGACTTCCCACGAGGCGATCCTGACTTCCTGCGATGCACTTGCCGCTTCGCCCCACGCTTGTTTGGAAATGTTGGCAGATGTGACCAGGGCCCAATCTATCGACTTTTCACCGTAGCGAATGTATGTCTTGATGTGAGGTGCTGCCCGTTGTCTGCCGGCTTCTTTTATAACTGAATCATCGCTCAACACTATGATATGTTAGTTGTGTGTGGATGGATATGCTGAGACCTGTCACCCTACCTTTGCCATGAGGCGAATCGTTTGCCCAGTGACAGAAGATGGGCCGGAGGTATGTCAATTGCTTCGCCTGTTGCTGTGACTGGATCTTGGTGTGGATTGATGCTCCTGAAGCATAGCCGTCCAAGCTTTGCCTAATCTCGTCCGCGGTAGGAAAGACGACCTTAAACGTTGACCTGGGTGTCGTAAGGGATTTGTTTTTAGATACGGCTAGGGAGTCGAAGAGGCACCTCTGGAGCCAGCTGTCAGTAGCCCCCAAAGTAGCAATGGATGATATCTGAATCGCAATTTCAGACTTCCCTTCTTGGACCGGAACATTGCGTAGTGCTCTTTTGAGCGCTGGCCATCCCCAGGTTGTCTGTGAAGTGTCGTGAATCGGGTGACGGCCGGGAACGCTGGCAATGAGTGTTGCACGCACACTCGAAAAGTCGTACTCGCGCAACTTGTCAACCAAGTCTATAAGGATTGGTCTCCGTGTGTTGTACGCTCTGAGGTAGCTGAGCAGATCGTATTTGAATCTTTCCCCTGTCCCGAACTGATGAGTGTCCGCTGAGTCGTCCTCGTCAACGGCCTTTTTCGGAAGGAGTGGCAGGATAGGTGATCTCCAGACGGCATTGGTCATATTCGTCCAGTCCTTGGCGATCATGTTGGCCGTATGTATGATCACTTGGGCTGAGTCGTCATGCCGGGTCAATACCATCATCTTCGTGTGGTGAGTGCCAAACATCTCCGGCATGAAAGCCCCATGCAGCTCAACATTGTGATACGCTTCTGCCTCTTCCTGTTCAATGTCAGCGTTCAGGTCCGTCCAGTGGCTTGTCCTGGTCATCGTCGGCTGACCTGAAGGGCTATACGATTTGGGTCTTCTCTCTTCCAGAAACCGTGAATGACGTGAACCTTGACTAGGTTCTTGGTGTCCTCGTCAAAGTGGCTCATGAGAAAGTGTATGTCGTGCAAAAAGTTGAACTCCCAACACTCTGCGATCATGGGATCGCCCAGAATGTCCGCGAGGCCGACGCAGTCACGGTTGGCAGCCTCGGGGAGATCTCGGATGGTCGTCAGCTGGAACGGCGACTTGAGACGTATTCCTGGCTGTTTTCTTTTCATGGGAGGGCTTATAGGCCGGTTCAAGGATTCAACATGGTCTGACTGAGCTGTTGGCGCCGGTCCTTCCAAGTCTTCGACACGTCGCTGCCGTTTAGATGCTCGCTCCATGGCGGAAAATGGTATTAATACGTGATCGTGTGCGGCATGTCCACGTGGAAGAGATTTTGTTTTAGGCGAGCTGGTAGGTAAGTAAATCGCTTGAGATGGATCAATGGTTGAGATGTTCTGAGGTGGGCGGATAGAAGCAGCGAGGTGCCAAATTGTTGCTATAGGCAGGTGGCTCCGGCTTAGATCCGTTTAGGCACATAACCGCCGCGTGCTAGGTCTCTGCGGTTACTTCTGTACCAAAAGAACCACGAACCAAGCCAAAACTTCTTGGACTGCATTTCCAGTCAAACAATTGAGTGACATATCTTGGTGGTGTAGAATTAAGAATAGCTATCCAGGTATGATTGTGGCAAATTCCAAAGCTACGCTTTGTCCCTGTGGCAGTCATAAACGAAGTCAGCGCAGCAGGGCAGTGATCGCGCCGCTTTTGGAGTGCGTTTGCTATATTCTTTCACCTTGGAAGTACGACGCCAAATCGGTTCTTCTCTCATCTGAATGCCACAAGATTTTTTACCAGATATGTTTTACTCACAAATAAATTGAGAAAACGGCTCAAGCAATCTCTCAAGCATGGCCTCTCTCCTGGCCTCGGGCTTGCTGACCCGTGATGTGATAGGTTGAGCTTTTGCCTGCAAGCACCTACACTGCCTCCGCCGTATTGATCCCATTTGGGCCGGCTTCACCTTTTCAGAGAAGATGGTTCGTCGAAATATTCCAGCTGATATGCGGGCAGGCTGAACAGGCTTGGCATCCTTCCCACTCACGCCCTACTTCAAGTTTGGCGGTGCATACATGCTTCCTCTTTCATCCCCTCCAGTGGTCAACTCAATATGGATCCTCTTTCCACCGCCGCAAGCATCATCGCTTTGATACAAGCATCGGCGGCGGTTGGGAAAGGAGTGAAAATACTCCTCTCTCTTCGCCATGCTCCGACGGACTTTTGCGAGCTCATTGACGAACTCACTTCTCTCCAGGACGTTATCGAGCAGGTCAAGAGTCCGCTTCAGGAACTGGAGAAGGGAGATGTTGCTCTTCCGACGTTGAACGTAGCTCCGACATTGGCTCTGAAACATGATCTAGAGAGCATACAAGAGGAGCTTCTAGCTCTGTGCCATCGTCTCACAGGGACTAAGTCCAGCGATGAAATGAGCGGGCAACTTCGCATCTCAATGTCGAGGTGGATTCGGGAGAGAAGCAATATTGCCAAGCTGAAGAGCAAGGCAAGCAAAACCAAAGGCTCTTTGAACCTTTGTTTTGGCGCTCTCATCTCATTACAGAGGTAAGTGTAAGCTGACTGTCAAAGGCGAGCACTATTCAGCGAGTCGCTGACCTCGGAATAGTTCTCATCACGCCAAGGCTATATTCGAAATCCGCCAGCTCGTTGAGACCTCTTTCCAGGTTTTGGAAGAGGAGGGCAGGGTACATCGACAGATGCAACTCATGAGTCAAGCCGACTTAGACGATATCAAGGCATCTCTCAGCCAGATGTGTGGCAAGACCCTGCAACCAAAGGCGCTGCAAGGTAGAGACCAGATTTCCACTGTGACTAGCAACAGCCCGTGCTACATGAAGACCGGAGGCAGCCCATCTCTGTCATTCCAGAAGCCAGCCGACCAAAAATGCACATCATATTGCAAATGTCAATGCCATCGCCACTCTAGGCTCCAGACACCGACATGGTTACGCTCGATATTGGGGACCCTCTTCCTCGAATCCAACAGAAAGTCACTGCTAGGGCCCAGAAAGTGCGACCTTGAGGCGTGTGCTGGAGCACCAGATTCGACACGGATGATATACATCTTTCCCCAATGGCTCCTCTTGCGTGCCCTCTTTGTCGCTGCTTCGCGGGACAGTCTGACCGGAATCGGCTCTTCGATTCACCTCCGCGTTCCACGACTAGTTCCACGTGAACAAATGATATCGATTGTGTATAACTTCGACCTCGAATGGATAAAACGGGGAATTATAAACTCAACGGTACTGCCAACAGATGTAGATGAGGATGGGAACTCTCTCCTGATGGTACGTCTGTGACTCTCACTATATGTAGATCGTGCAATTTCCTTAACCTTATTATAACTTTGTCAGATATCGCTACGCGACGTCAACTTGACGCTTTCGGAATTTCTGGTCGAGCAAGGATGGCCGTTGCATACCGAGAATGTTACTCGTTGGTAAGCTAACTTGATCCGGTACCGTAATACTCGGTTGATGGTTCCAGGTTGACCCGTCTCAGGACCGCTGCCAGCCGTTCTCGTATACTCTATCATGCCGCGAAGCAAAGCCGGATACAGTCTCTCAAGCCCGAGCATCGTCGAATGCTCGAGCAACTGACGTTTTCTCAAGAGGTCGAAACATCATCCTTGATTCACGATGCGATGCTCGGGACCGTCCCGACATATTTGTCAGACGCAATTACACTCGCTCGGTCTGACATTGACAGCTTGGATAGCTACGGATGGTGTCCGCTGCACTGGGCAATCTACCTGGCCGATTACGCTTCGTTCGATATACTACTGTATCGCGGTGCCTGCATTGAGACGACCACCAGGAGCGGGTGGACACCTCTGCATTATGCAGCGCGATATGAATCTCCTGGTTCGGTGAGGATGACTAAAGCTCTGCTCGACGCTGGTGCAAACATTAATGCCCAGATCGACAACTACCGTGGGTCCAGAGGAGAGACCGCAATCATGTTCGCATTCGACAACCCTGATGTTGTAGACTTACTACTGCAGAGAGGAAGTGCTTTGGTGGTTGAAACCGACACAAATTGGGTATGCCCGCTCTCGTACAGGGCTCGTCGTACAAGTAATGTCGCCCGTTGGGATCCGAGAAGAGCCTACTGGGATCGATCTCTCGACCTGCTCTGCAACGCCGGCATGGACCTCAGCGTACCGTCCAAACAGAGGGGGTTCGAAGGCAGAACACCTATTCACGACACGATTCTGTGGCGGAATGCAGCCTTGTTGGAGCTCCTGATCCAGCACGGCGCCAGGCTCGATGCCGTTGATAAGAACCGGCCCAAAGTGCCAACCAGGAGCTCATTGACATCTTGAGCGATGCTGGCATCCGCGGGTTGAACCCTGATCAAGCAAACGCGGCTGGTGATACTCCAATGAAGATCATGACTGCCAGGCTTTATGGCAAGGAAGACTCTAGACAGCCGGGCGAGACGGTACCGACATTCGACGAGTGGTTAGCTTTCAAGAACATATTGGAAGAGATTCGAGAACGAAATCTCGAGGACTTATTGTTGGGACCTAGATACATGGGCATTGTTGATGATATCAGCTCCAGCGGAATTTCGAGCAGCACCAGTGACGATGTGGATTAATTGTTGATTCAGCTAGAGCAAAATGAAAAAGGAAGTCCAAAAATCATTGCAACAAGAATCGAGCATATAAGTACCATGGCGTTCAGGGTCCTTTCGTGGGTTTGAGAAGCCCCGAGCTTTGGGTTTACTCCCCCTCGTGGGATGCGATGACGATCCGCACGTGCCATTGGAACGGTTCTCCATAGCTTTCGAGTTTGTTGCATGGCAGTGCGTGGTGCATGGCACGCGTGGTGAGATTTTGAAGTGGCGATCCGAGATGGATAAGCAGCATTCTATTCTTATCGCAATCCAGATCCACCTCGCTGCCGCCCCAAGATGCAAGATTGAACTTTGCCCAACTTTTGAATGGCGAAATGAACCAATGTTTAGTGGGGGCAGATTTAGCAGGCAGGCAGCTGGCACCACAAGTTCCCGCAGTTCTCCCACACTCTCCGCTTCCCGCCTGCCAGGCTTTGCCAGGGTGCCAGGGAACACCAAGAGTGGACAGCCAGCTGGAGATTGACTGGAGACGGTGGCCTTACCCAGAACACGCACAAAGCGTCCGTTGTTGCCCTAAATCTAAGGCAGTGATATCTTTCCCGTGTTTGGCTGCGCAACGGCTGGCACCAAGGACCAAGGACCAGGACCAGAACCAGAACCAGCCAGAGAACCTGGACCGCGCTACAGAATCTTGACACACGGTCTTTCTCCTGACCTGCCAGTCCTGTCGCTCGCTTTCGCTGGTCCCTTTGCTTGGCTTCCCCCTTTGCCAGAAGCAACCACCACTCTAACCTACCACCACCCTTTTTTCTCCTTCATTTCGACGCCGCTGGACGATTTTCGGGGGGCTTTGACCCAGACGACGAAAGGAACATTAGCTTCTTTCTCGACTTTTCTACCCTCCATGTCTTCGGCGATCTAAAAGGTTTTATCTAAACCCTTTGCAAACCCCTCGAACCACATCAATCGCGACTTCCGATCCGATCCACACCCATCTGACGCTGCACCTTCCCATAGCGAATTGACGACACAACCGCGCTTTGCCGCGCCCTCTCGATTGATTGCGTCTGCTCAGCCGTCGTTATTGGCATCATCTGACAGACTTTGCTATTCATCTTTCGGTACAAAGTCATCGCACTCACGCGGTGCACCCTCATCGCCGCAATGAGGTTATCACCTTTGTTCCTGTTCCTGGGCTCGACCCTTCTCTCCGGGGTTCAAGCAGCAGAGGCAGACAAGGATGACCGGGAGAACACCTACTTCAACTCCATGAAAGTGCCGCCAATACTCGAGTTGACGCCGGATACCTTTGATAAGGAGGTCAAGGCCTCGCAATTCATGCTTATCAAGCACTACAGGTATACAATCATGCTATCGCTTACCCGCCCTTTGCGCAACGTGCTGACGATGGAACAGCCCTTACTGCCCGCATTGCATAGACTATGCGCCGATATACCAGACCCTCTACGAGTGGTACTACACCTCGAAGCCCGAGTCCAAGGAGGACAAGACCTTTACCGAGCTCTACGATTTCCGCTTCGCCACGATTAACTGCGTGGCCTACTTTGATCTTTGCGCTTCCCACAACGTCGCGTCATACCCTAGCACCATCCTCTACAAGAATGGCGAGCTGGCCGAGTTGATCAAGGGTGTCAAGGACATTGACCAGATCAGCCCCATTATCGAGAAGTACCTCGAGGCGGCCAAGCCCGGAACCAGGCCCCGCAGCCTCGAGTATCCGGAGCCTGGCGACAAGACCTCCCCCGAAAAGGCCCCTGGAAAGGCCGACGACTCGAAGAAGCCTGTGGACGACAAGGCCGACGCCAAGACTGATAGCAAGGCTCCCGCAAAGGCCGACGAGAAGACACCGCCCAAGGAAGAGACCAAGGCTCCTCCGAAGGCTCCTCCCGCGAAGGAAGACGATAAGCCTGCAGGCAAGACCGATGCGAAGGCTGATACTAAGGGCGATGCCAAGGGCGACGCGAAGACTGAGACAAAGACTGACGCAAAGGCCGACGTCAAGGCAGATGCAAAGCCCAGCACCACCGCTGAGAAGGCTGTCGCTGCTCCTACCAAGGCCGTCGTCAAGAAACCTACAGTCACACCTAACAAGGAAGGTGCCTCTGTGCCTCTGAGTGCCGAGAGATTCCAGACCTTGGTCACCATGACCCAGGACCCCTGGTTTGTTAAGTTTTACGCACCCTGGTGCCATCACTGCCAGGCCATGGCACCTAACTGGCAGCAACTGGCCAAGGAGATGAAGGGTCGTCTGAATATCGGAGAGGTCAACTGCGACGTGGAGACCAGACTTTGCAAGGACGTCCGTCTCCGCGGCTACCCCACTATCCTCTTCTTCAAGGGTGGCGAGCGTGTCGAGTACGATGGTCTGAGAGGCCTCGGCGACTTTGTCCACTACGCCAACAAGGCCATCGACATTAGCGAGGGAGTACTGGATGTAGATGCCGAGTCCCTCGCAGTCCTCGAGGAGAAGGAAGAGGTCATCTTCATCTACTTCTACGACCATGCCACTACCTCTGAGGACTTCATGGCTCTTGAGCGTATCCCTCTCAGCCTGATTGGCAAGGCAAAGCTTGTGAAGACCAAGGACCCCGTCCTCTTCGCCCGTTACAAGATCACGACCTGGCCTCGCTTGCTCGTTTCCAGAGAGGGCCGCCCCACATACTACCAGCCGCTAACACCCAAGGAGATGCGTGATATTCACCAAGTCTTGAACTGGATGAAGTCAGTCTGGCTTCCGATTGTTCCCGAGATGACTGCTTCCAATGCTCGCGAGATCATGGATGGCAAGGTTGTTGTCCTTGGAATTGTCAACAGAGAAGACCAGGAAGGCTTCCTCAGAGCCAAGCGCGAGTTGAAGAGTGCTGCCAACGAGTGGATGGATAAGCAGATCCTTCTCTTCCAGCACGAAAGGCAAGAGCTTCGAGATGCCAAGCAACTCAGAATCGATGAGGCCGATGATCGTGGCGACGGGCGTGCGTTGCGGGCGGCCAAGGCCATCCGCATCAACATGGACAAGTCGGACCGCAAGCAGGTTGGCTTTGCCTGGGTTGATAGTGTTTTCTGGCAGAGATGGATCCGCACCACCTATGGCATCGATACCAAGGACGGAGACCGTGTCATTATTAATGACGAGGATGTAAGTACAACCGACGTACACATACGTAGGAGCAGCCTGACTGACTTGATCCTTAGAACCGCCGCTACTGGGATACTACTATTACTGGCAACAATATCCTCTTGTCTCGGACGTCGATTTTGGAGACCATTAACAAGGTCGTCTCTTCGCCGCCTAAGATCAAGCCCAAGCTCACCATCTCGAGCTTCGAGAAGATCTTCTTCGACATCCGTGTCACCTTTGTCGAGCACCCCTATCTTACCATGGGCTGCATTCTTGGCCTGGCCTTTGGAGCCTTCTCATGGTTCCGCAGCCGCACCCGCAAGGGCCGTGGCGGCCACTTCCGCCTGGAAGAATCATGGGGCAACAAGGAGTTGATGAAGGAGGGTCTCCTGGGCCCCAACGGCAACGGCAAGGTGGACTAGAAGTCGAGCTTGCTCGAACATGAATGGAAGAGGCTAGAGGAGCAGCGGTGCCCTGCACAGCATGATCTTGGCAAGTTGGACTAATGGGAAGGCCATGAATGAGGCTACGACGATTTGGGGAACATTGACGTCAAAAGTGTGTGGGTTGTGCTTGACTTTTTTTTTGCTTTCAACGAAAGGAAAGCAGAATGACGTATTAAAAACCCAAAGCATTGAGGTGAATACTCACGGAGTTGACGGGGACTCTTTTTTCTTATTACTTTTTTTCTTGTTTTCCCGCTGCGTGTCTCTTCGTCTCTCTTTGGTGTGGGATATGGCCGACAAGGCCTAGAGGTCTGTATAATAAATCCTCCTTTATGTTTGATAGGGTTGGCGGTGGTGGAGAAGGAGGAAGGGGAATACAACGCCTTTCGCGTCTACCTTACGTTGCCACTTTGACAGATTATGCATTGTTTATTTGATATGTTTAGTTGTGAGGACCCCTCGGCTTTGGTATGCGCGTAGTCTTCGGGCCTCGGTCGCTGCAGTTGACTTGTGTTGTAATGACAGTGTTGCATGCATGACTTGATGGGGCCGGACTATAGGGTTTCACTTTGGCTCGCGATCATGAGGAGGTACGATATCCGGGAAATACGGGAAATACGGGAATTGATAGCAGTCTAAAGAGAAGCAGCCGTTTCATTGTTTGTCATACGCGAGATTGGGGACCAAAAGGAGGCTGCTTTGAATACCACCCAGAACAGAGTTCAATTGTTTCCTCCCAGCTCTAAATTCCAAAGCTTTCCACCCATACACGTTGTCGTTTGTTTCGGTAACACAATCCCAGATGTTGTGTTCTTTTCTTTTTCTGCTATTTTCTTTTTTTGTGTTTCTGTTTATGAACGGAGAGCCACAGAACGGATTCACTATCCGTCTGTTTACGTGTAAATCTCATCAGTGAAGCTATTGAGAGACAGACCCTCCTTTGCGATATCGTCCACGTCGACGAGGAAGTCAAGTGGCATCTCGACAATGTTGCCGCGCACACGGTTCAGCCAGTCCTTGACCTCGCGCACGCCTCCCGGGAACTCCTCGCGCACGACGTGGCCATACTCGACCTTGCCGCGGTTGGCCTCCTCTTCCTTCTGCTTGTCGTCCTCCTTCTTGGCGCCGGGAATAATAAAGTACTTGGAGAAGAACTCGTCATAGTCCTTCCAGGTGCGGACGCGGTCGTTGGGGACGTTGTGGAAGACTTTTGTGAAGACTTCCGTGTTCGTGCGGGCGGTGCCCTCCCAGAGATCCCAGAACTCGCGGGACATGGGGTCGCGGACGAGGCGGTCGGCGGGGGAGTCCCAGTCGTAGGCGTTGGGTCCGCGCTCAATGGAGGTCCAGTTGTCGTTGGGTCGGTCGCAGGGTTGGTCGGGCAGGAGGCCGAGGTGCTTGCGGAAGATTTGGCGGCGGAGGGAGGTGGCGAACTTGGA